CCCTGTACGGGTATTTATATAGGCGTATGGGCAGTTCTCATACTGTCGCGGGTTCGTTTGAACAAAGGGTAACCCGAGATCATCAAGCAAATTCAGATTTCGGGTTTACTCGTTGGCAGAAAAATACTTAAAAAAAGGTTTGTTTTTTAGATCAATTCTTTCATTCCATGAACTCTGGATCTTCATAAATTGAAAAGATACTGATAAATCGGAAATGGGTCTTTTTTTGTTTCTTGTCTATGTGTCTCTCAGCTCCATGGTTCATCTGATTTTGAGATTTTATCTTCATGGGTTGTATTTATCAGATGAGACCGTTTCAGAGGGCTTTGTTATCAAAGACGGTGTTTTTCTTGGATTTTTGCTTTATTTTTGGAACTAGATGAGAAAAGGTCTTTGTGGGGGTGGATCTCGGTTCTGGGATGTTTTCTTTTCTTGTTTATATTTTGTGATTCATGATCATTGATGTGTGTGTCATCCCTCAGATTCTTGTATTTAACTGACGTTAATTGCTAGAGTTTCTGATGTATTTACTTTTCTTGTGAATAATGTGATTTGTGACCGTCGATGTGTGTGCTTTTGTGTCTATTTTTGACGTTAGACAAACTTAGTGCTTGCATTTCAGAATTGGATGAAGAATATCTATGGTTGATGAGAAAAATTTGCACTTTCTTGATATTTACCTTCTTGAGATGAGACCCTGCCTTACTCCTTTAGTTCTTTTCCTTTTTTGCTAATTTCTACCAAAAGATTAAGAAATTATGATTGGAAGTTTGAGATTTGATTATGTTTTGGTGGTACTGCTTTAGAATATTATAGTACTTAAAGCATGCAGTGCATGATGCAGGTTTTATCTAATTGTTTTCTTCGTATGGAGAAACTAACGATTGTTTGATTTGAGTCAGAAAATGCTGGACGAGGAATTTTTCACTGAATATGGCGAGGCCAGCCAGTATGAAATATTGGAAGTGATTGGCAAGGGAAGCTATGGAGTAGTTGCTTCTGCAGTTGATACTCACACGGGAGAGAAGGTGGCTATTAAGAAGATGACCAATATCTTTGAGCACACCTCTGATGCAATACGCATCCTAAGAGAGATCAAACTCCTACGGCTGCTGCGACACCCAGATATTGTACAAATAAAGCACATAATGCTTCCTCCATGTAGCAGAGAATTTCAAGATATATATGTTGTTTTTGAGTTGATGGAATCTGACCTTCATGAAGTTATAAAGATCAATGATGATTTTACTCCTGATCATCATCAATATTTCTTGTACCAGCTTCTTCGAGCTCTTCACTATATACACTCAGGTTAGTTTTCTGGCTTGATTGCTTGCAGCGAAAAGTGGCTCTAATGTTCTTCTCCTCTGGATTTTCAGCTCACGTTTTCCATCGTGATTTAAAGCCAAAAAATATTCTTGCTAATTCTGACTGCAAAGTGAAGATTTGTGATTTCGGACTTGCTCGAGTATCATTTACTGATGTTCCTTCTGCTATCTTTTGGACTGTAAGTGTTTCCTTCTTGGAGTTATTGTCTAACTTCTCTGCTACCATTTATTTACAGTTCATCTTATTTAACCTTTGTATCTAATAATGGTACTTTGCCTAGGATTATGTGGCAACCCGATGGTATCGTGCTCCTGAGCTCTGTGGTTCGTTTTACTCCAAGGTAGGTTACAGAAAGGGACAAGTATTTTGTAATACCTAAAGTCGTTTTGCTTGAGCAAGATAATTGGGGAATTTCCTGTTTACAGTATTCAGGTTAATTTTTGGAGCGTTGCTCTAAAAACTTTGCTTATTCATTTCTAAACTTGTGGTTTCTGTAGTACACCCCTGCTGTTGATATTTGGAGCATAGGGTGCATATTTGCAGAATTGCTAACTGGACAACCCTTGTTTCCTGGGAAGAATGTTGTGGAAGAATTAGAACTTGTGACTGATTTGCTTGGAACTCCTTCTGCCGAGACAATTTCAAGGGTTTGTTCACTGTTGCTTATCTCCTTTGCTATTACAAAAATTTTTCATTAATGTTAGTTAGTTGCCTCTTTAACTTACTCCCTACTAAATTTGTTTCAAGATAAGTTCAAGATCTGTTTCCTAACCATATTGATTCTTTGTGATATCTTCAGATTCGTAATGAAAAGGCTAGAAGGTTTTTGAGTGGCATGAGGAAAAAGGAACCAATTCCTTTCTCAAAAAAATTTCCAAATGTAGATCCATTAGCACTCCATTTGCTGGAACGTATGCTTGCATTTGATCCTCAAGATCGTCCATCTGCTGAAGAGGTAAGACTTTGCAAGTAATGGTTAAAGCTGCAGTTTGCTCATCTATTTTAATGTTCTTTTTACAGGCATTAACTGATCCCTATTTTCATGGACTTTCAAATATGAACCTTGAACCTTCCATGAGACCCATTTCCAAATTTGAATTTGAATTTGAGAGGAGGAAATTGGCAAATGATGATGTAAGAGAGCTAATTTATAGAGAGGTATGTCCTCATGGACTAATGGTTATCTCAAATGATATTATTCTCTATTTGTACTTCGTGTTCTGTCCTATTTTCCTTACCCTAATATGTATTTTTTTCTAAACTGAAAACAGATTTTAGAGTATCATCCACAGATGCTGAAAGAGTACCTCCAAGGCAAAGATCAGATGAGCTTCATGTATCCAAGGTTAGGCTCTTGGGTACTTCACTGATGACAGAGTAGCAAAATTATATAAAACATAAACTATATAACAAAGAAGCTCCAGCACCTTAGCTTATGGCCTAGTGGTGAAGGGGCATGCTTCCAACCAAGTGGCATATTTGTAACCCCCTCCCCCATTTTTTTTTTCCAAAAAAAAAATCTCCACCTTGTGTCAAGAGTAACAGTTCAAGGTCCAGGTCACCGCTTTCATATCTAGAAATGATCAAATCCCCTGCTAGCTGCACATAAAAGAATCCATGATTAATTGAGGTCTTGAAGATAAAAACTTTACATGGATATGATTTCTTTCAAGTTTTCCCATTCATTTAGGAGATCAAAGAGTTTATCCCCAGGGTTTTAAGGTGTCCGACATAAGTATATTTTGGAAACATGAAGAGCCTAAGAAAACTACTTCTTTTAACCGTGAGATATATAAATTTGGGTTTTTTGGTGGAGTGAAGTGTCATTCTATGTGCCTGTTACTGCAATACGTGTCTGCATTAATTCTTCTTGCTTGAGGAAGGCTATATTCTGTCTTATCTGTCTCCAAGGTTCTGATATTACTTCTGTTTTCCAGTTGTGGTAGATTGTTTAGTATGTTGCTCTAGTGGAGACTCATCTCACAGCTAACTTTGTGCATAAAAGCTGAAAATTTATGGTTAATTGTGGAATCTAGAATTCAGATAATTCTACTATTCCAGGATGCATCTCTATAGTTGGAAAAAATCTGTGGCAGTGGGGAAAAATCTACAACCTTAGCTTCACAGATGGCATTTAACTATCTTCAAGATAAACTGATTACATCCCAGTATTTTGTATCTAAATAATGGTTCTGTTCCTTTGTTCTTTTATGCCTACTCAGTGGAGTTGACCTGTTCAAGCGGCAATTTGCTTGTCTTGAGGAACACTATGGTAAGAAAGAAAAGGGCATTTCACTCCAAAGGAGGTATACCTCTGTGCCCAGGTGAATTTCTGGCCTTTTTTAGTTATGTGCAGTTTGTTTAGTATGGTTGCACCATTTCTGTTGTATTGACAGTATTATCATCTCTCTTAGGGAGCGGGTCTGTGTGCCCATAGATGATGCTACAGATAGAACAGACCATTCAAAAAGACGTCCTTCAGCTTCAGTAACTCGTGCTGCACTTCGAAGCTCACCAAGATCACAGGATTCTGGTAAGGCACAATCTGTTAACAAAAATGCACCAGCTATGCAGGTTGGTTCCAGCAAGCCCAAGCAGACTCCTCGTAGACTATTGAAAAGTGATAGCATCAGTGCTTCAAGGTGTGTGGGTATGATAGCAAAATCCCATGAGGTATGTCCTATCTTTTATACTGTACTGCCTTTTATCAATCAATTAGGAAGATTTTGTTGAAAGGATTCAGTTAGCTTTAATGTTGAAGCACCTAATGACATAATCAAAAAACACTCAAACTCATATAAGCACTTTGTAGGGGGGGACTTATTCAAGCACTTTCTGCAGTTGTATAAACTATGCTTAAATCTTCTTTCTGGTGCAGAACGAGGTACCAAAGGTGAGAGCTCAATGTGCGTGATCATGTACTTCAAGGAAGATAAACTGCCAACGGAATGACTGTTCTCTTTAGCTAAACCCCAAGCTGCGATGTTGGAGGTTGACATTGCTGCTACTAATTTCAGAATGATTGTAGAACTGTTGTATTATTTGCAGTCCAATGTGCTAATGTCTGGTGAACCCGTCTGATATAGCTTGTAGACGTTAATCGGTTAATGTATTGTATCGAGTGATTAACATGACTCCATTTGTGCTTTTAGTCATCCATGTTATGAAATCTGCGATAAATGATCCCATAAGAACATGAAAAACTTCTGCCCAACACACACAAATTACAATATATTTGCAGATTTTTAACAGAATAACTAAGTTATAGCAAAACGTGTAAATTAGAAACCCAAATATATGACCTCCATGAGTGAGCACAAAATTGTTTCAGAATAGCCAAAGATTTAAAAGTTAATGGAACCCCATGGCAAGTTCTTAAAAT